GGCGTAGTGGTTCAATGACGGGGGGTTATCAGTGGGAGCAGGCTAGCCCAAACTGCCTAGCAGCTCCAACAGAGCCTCGACCGTCTTGGCCTACGACTGAATGAGTTGGTTGATATCGGGGTCCAGGTTGGGTATCTTGCCTGGCATTCACGGAATACCTCATCGCTAATTGTGTTGTAACGTTCCGATAAAAGACATGACCGGAGTAGTTTGAATCGTCACCCGAAGGGAATGAACGGTAGGACTGACCACAAATGGAAACCGTAATAACTCAGTTACCGAGTGACTACAGCACGAACACGTTCGACTGCGTGAACTAGAAGAAACACCCGCGAGGGTAGTACGATCCCGGAACCCAATCAGAGAGAAGAAAGGAAGATAGACCTTTAGGTGAGGCTGTGTATTTGGTTCGACCCAAAAGACCAATGCTGAACAACTCATCTGTTCGTATGCATTTTCGCGACTGGTCAGCAATGACCTTGAAAATTAGCTCGAAAGTACTCAAACAATGAGGCGATCAAGAGCAATTATGGCCGATGGTGTAAACTGAGGAATTTTACAGCTCGAAAATTTGGAAATTCAAATTTTATAAAATAAATTAATTAGGAAAAATGGTCTTACTCCGTTCAGTATTCAATATTGTTTGATCCATTGCGAGATGGATTTTATTCCGTTCTTATGCAAAGCTATCCTGATTAAGACCCCCAAACTCGTATCTTTTTGTTCCTTAACAATTGACCACGATAGAAATATTGCTTGAACCATGCACTTCTGATTGCATGTTGTGGGGTCAACCGGTCTCAGTCTGATTGCTTGAGCCGTGGAACAAGCCTACTGAATCAGATAAATAACGAGAAGATACCGTGAACAATTTTACACATCCTATTCACATCCAAATTGGTGACTGGTTTCCAGCACGTGTTCGCCTTATCGCGCTTTACACTGTCCTCGTTTTCCCGTGTGCCCACCAATGAAAATGGTGTCTTCCTTTTTCGCTTCGATGTTTTTTTATTGTTCTAATACCTACGTCATTAGTTTCACAGAAACAATTAAAAGAAGTAGATGCACGTGAAAATGGTGTGAGAAGACAATGCATCTTTAAGATCCAAACGAGTTGCTGTCAGCACTTCCAGTTTCTCAGGTTTGCCAAGGAAACAATCCGATTGACCGTCTTCCCTTATCATACCACTTCTTGACTTTGTTTGATCGATTAGAGGAGGTATCCGGGGTAAACATTGACTGTGCTTTTCTCGCTACGTAGTACACCAAGTTGTTCTTTTATGTAAGTAGAGCAAAACTCAAAAAAATCAGTGTATTGCCCTAGCCATATCCTACCGTATATAGAGGTTTAGAATGTTTCCATTTACAAAATGGTTTTCATTTGTCTTCCACTCAATATGGCTGGTTTATTAGCAAATGAATGATGACGCTCTGAAGGGAGCTTTGGATACAACCTAGTTACATTTGGTTCCGTCAGCTTGTCCCTTATTAGCACATCTAACAAAGAGAGAATACATTCACAGACCACAATTTTGTAACTCAATATGCATAGACTGAACAACAAGGGAGCTGTGTCACTGTGTGTGTCAACTTGACCTATAAGCGATAATCGCATCCCGATTAAATAGTACCATGACGAGTGATAAAATTGTAATTTTGTGTTCACCATTTTGATCACCGTTCATCTCTTCTCAGATGTCATGACTTCACCATAGAAGCAACAAAAACTTGTCAATCATTTTTATCTAACCCAGCCGTACGCAATCGATTGTCCCACGCATTAAAACTATCATGGTCGAGTATTGATTACACAAGTAATATCCCGTCCACTCAGCTATATGGCCTACGGAGGTGGAACAGTTTCATTGGTTCTAAATGGACCAATCATCCGGTACTGACACACACACACACACACACACACACACACACACGCACACTAACACACTCAATTCAGTGTGTACAGTCATGGATTCTGACCGAACAAAAATCATGTGTGAAACACGTCAAAGCTAGAGGTGCTTTATCCAGACTATAGAGAAGGAAACATTGAAAACAGCTAGTACCTGTTACAATGAGCATATCTTGAAATTGCTACTAGCATAGTAGTAAAAATCAATAACACTGGTAAGCTGCGTATACTAAATCCAGTGTGATGCAGACCAATCGGACTGGAGTGTATTGTTTGAGAGCATT